CTTAGTATACAGGATCTATCGTCACGGTCGAAAGCTGTTAACACAATTTCAAAAGAAAGCTAAACCCCTTCCTGGTTTAATTATTTGGAATCTAGAGGAGTCGAAAGATAACGACCCTGCTAGAAGTCATGCACATGACCTGCAGTTAGTGGAGTCTGTGGTAAGAAATGTGCTACCTGAAGAGGTTTCATGGGTACATATTACAAAAGTAGTACGACTTGGTAAATGGGTTGGAGGCGAGACCCAGCCAAGAAAAATCCTGAAGCTGGTTCTCGGGAATTTCGAAGAAAGAGACATTAGTAATAATAATAATAATTTATTCTCAAATAACAGTATGTTACATGAGGCATGCCAGTTTACAGGCAAGATCAAATTGATACAAATGATACAATATTCACTGCAGTAAATCACATAGCTGGGTTGATAATTTATAAGATATGAATGTAGATGGTTTGAATCAGTACCACAGTTGGCGCGCTTCATGAAAGTTGCGTTGAAAATGTGCAGTTGATGGTCAAGGATAGGTCCATTGAAGGTGGGAGCTTCTAAATGTCGCAACCTTATGTCCCTTTGGAATGTCTAAGGCTACGAAGATGGTGCAGGATCAAATCTTTCGTTCCATATTACAAGGGGGCTGAAAGAGGGAGCAAGTAAAAGAAAGGACGGGAGGCAGAGTAGCCAATATTCATGAAGGAATGTTTAAGGTATGATTACTCAGTCTAATTTTCTTTTATTAAGGTATTTGTTAAGAAAGAGCATTTTAATAGGTTAAAGAAAATAAGTGTTAACAAGGTGTGAGTGGACATACAACTGACAAATGGAGGCGATTCAGAAAGGAGCTGAGATTATGGGATTTTGTGTGGTTATAAAATAAAATATAGTGCCAGAAACAATATTGTGATATACAATTGGCTATCTTCCTTTTATTATCGAAGCTATTAGAGCCCCTTTTGTTCTTCTTGTATTATTTTTTTCCAGGTATTATAGGGTCTTGAGTAGGCTTCGTATATTAGCGAATTGTCTGGTTTGCTTTTAATAGGATTTCTAGGTAGGATGTGAAACCGATTCAACGTTTGTAACACGATTTAAAGAGGTATTTTGCGTGATAAATCAGCATCAATACCATAAGTTCTTGACATCCCACTAAACCATTGTAGGTGGACAAGGCAAGATCACAGACAGGGATGACTTAACAGAAACCTGTAATACTATTTTGGTACCGCGTCGTCACAACGACAGTTATGTCCAAAGTTTGCTCTCTTCTGTTATTGATGCACTGTAGACTGATCTGCTTGCTATTTACGACCCCAAATAACGGCACAGCTGAGTCCAAATCCAGGTACCAAGGTTTATCCACAAATAATAATGATAATAATATAAAAATATATAATATGTATTTAATATATAATAATATATTGTTCTAATAATTATCATAAAAATTACGAAACAAACCTTCATTTTTAAGGTTTCCGGAGCAAAGCTTTTAAAATACCAAAACAAAATGTTTGAGATCAACGTTATAAACAAACAAGTTCTAGGTTTGAGTGAAACAAATGCATACAAACATACGGTGGAATTATTATTATCAACTGTGACAGCTTTTAACCAGTTAAATATTTTCAACTCTGTAACAACAGTGAGCCCACCCACTAAAGAAATTCCTTTCCGCTGATGAGTCGTTGGTTCTGATGAGCGACGAGCACGAAACGCAGTAATCATCTTTGTATCGTTTAGCCTCAGTAGGGTGTTTTGTGGACAATTTTGAATGTCTTTTCCCATATTTCTCCTTTGACTACAAGTTTTAGTATGAGCAGGGTGTTAAAAGAAATACGATCCTGGTTACTTAGTTGGAAACTCAGTTTTAGGGTGAGTCCAGTTGCTCATGTTGCACACATGAGGTTCTTCACTTGGTGTCGTCCTGAGCTTTCTCATAATCCAGGAGCTAAAAACAATGATTTTTGACCTAGTATATAATTCTGCTAGTTGTCCTTATATTTATAGCAAAAATGACGAGATTGGATCTGGTATGTAACGTGGACGCGAATCCACTTTGGGGAATATTTTGAAGATTACTCAGTCTACCTGAAGGAATAAACTGATATTCAATTTTATAGACTATATTTATTCAACATGCATACTGTGAAACAACAAATGTTGTGGATTGTAGATCATGCCTGTAAAAGTGGCGTGTACCTGTCCTTGCAGAAATATATTACTGTTGGCAACGCTATTATTCTGCACGCTACTCAATAGACAAAAATTATGATGTGAGACAGTTTAAGGAGAAAATAAACAAGACGAAAGTTACGAAAAAAGAGAAAGCAGAGATAAGTGGATATACGCATCGCGAAGATATAACCTGAAAGATATTTAAAATTGCAACGTTACCTTTGACTTTCTGGGCAAGCAACTCCAAGTGGATCCAGTAACACATCCGCAATTCCTGAGTTTGTAGCAACTAGGTAAAACGAAGTTGGAAAAGACCACTAGATCTACTTCACAGTGGTTCGACGTTGGTCCAATTATTGTCACATTCGTTATCGTGGCAGTCTGTCAACAAGGTGAAGACCAAAATCGCATTCTCAGAAGTGTCAAAATGCTGCAACATAGTTGTGGAAAAGTGAATATTCTCGATTACTGATGAGATATCAACGAAGCCATGTTGGTATGAAAGAACGCACGTTGTGGTAGAATGAATCCAAACTATTTGGTGTATCCGCTAATCACTCTGTCCCTAGTATTTATGCATCAGCGTAATGGTGGAATATGATAGACAGGCAACTCTAGTGGCAAATAAATCTCTCCAAATCAGCACCAGAACACTTGTGAGCAAGCCGTACATTACATCTCCTACAACCGCTAGCCAGCTTAGGCTGATCACTTCTTGATATATCGATAGCCTTTCAAACATAGCTTCGAACTTCTTCACTTCCGACTTTCGATTTGGCTGGGTTCGCTAGTTTTAATTGCAAAGATGTTAATGGCTAGAGCGCTATCAAACTCTGTATACTTGTGGCATCTTTACAGCCATCAGAGGAATCTTACGAGGATTCGCGTATGAGGTGTCCGAATCAATAACACAGCTGAGTACAAGTTAATCAATAAAATTGAATCGTCACACTTGGTAGTCATATGCCCAATCAAGTATCGTATCTTAGTATATATATATCAGACCTGTATGAAATACCACAGTTGTCCTTCCACACCGACACATTTTTAGTTCGTAGATAAGGTGCACACAAACGTTTAAATCAGAAAAGTAATATGACTATTGCTATATTCTACAACTGAAGTCCTTGTATTTTGGAAAAAATTGAGACAAGTAAAAGTCTCAGTTTCAGTTTAAAAACGACAGGAGGCTTGATGGTCTGTGTTAGTCCTGGAAATGATGGTCTCTCAGCTGATCCAACTTTCTCTTGAAAGAGTAGACGGATGGAGCCTCAACCACGTGCTGAGGTGATGAATCTCATTCGTTGATGATTCATCGGGAAAGTAGGTAGTCAGCTATTAAGTAATTTGTTCTAGGCTTGTGGACATTTTTGGAGTGTCGTCGTAAGTTCTCTAGTTTAGTAGACAAGAAACATGAGGGCATATCAAGTGTAAATTTATCACAAAGCAATTTGAAAACTGTAATCAAGTCGCCCTCAGTTCTACGATATGACGACGGGAATAGGTATAGCTTGACCTGTCGAGCATCATACGGAAGCTTTTCTATTCTGAGAATCAACTTAGTTGCCGTTCTCTGAACCTTTTCCAGAAGCTCACTGTCTTTCTTAAGCAGGGGCTGGCCGCTTGTATGCAGTACTCAAGTTTAAGACGCATGAACACTGTATACAAAGTCGAAAACATTTTAGCATTCACATGACCAAAGGCTGGACGTATTGACCATAAAGTTTTAAAACTTTTGATGGCTATTGCACGGCAGTATACAGTAGTCTTTAAGTCTTGGCTAACGATGACTCCTAAGACATTGTGTGTTTGAACAACAAGTAGCTCAGTGTTATTCATCATGTATATATCTGTACCTTGATGACCAGTATGCATCACAATAAACTTGGAAGTATTTATCGGTAACTGCCAGGTTTAAGACCATTCAGATAATTTCTTCAGGTCATTTTGGAGTTCTAAGCTATCACCCTAACATCGTATCGTTCTCCATATCTTGACATCGTCAACAAATAGCAAGAACGATAATGATGATAAACGAAGAATGTCATTTACATACAAGAGGAATAACCTGGAGCACTCCATTAGGCACAATTTGCAAGATAGACAACTTTGAGTTCAACCGTACTCCTTGTTGGCGCCCAACCAGGAAGTCTTTTATCAACATCAATAGACTGCACCTAATCCCGAAATTTCTTAACTTATATAACATCTGGTTGTGCGGAACTTTGTCAAAAGATTTACTGAAATCACTGTAGGCTACGCCTACATGCAACTTTTGGTCCTTAAGAGCGCACCACCTATCACGAGCCACTAATAAGTTAGTGAGACAAGAGTAACCTATTCTTAAGCCGTGCTGCTTCTCCGAAAGAATCCGGTTTTCATCGAGATACTTAAACAGATCCTTCAGAATAATCTTTTCTAAGATTTTAACAACCACACTAGTTAGGTCAACGGAGCGGTAATTCTCAGGTTTATGTTTCGTACCTGTTTTGAAGACAGGACTTACTATGGTGTTCTTCCAGTCTTTTGGCAAAGGACCCTGGGTTACGAATATATTAAGGCAAATACTTTAAAGGCTCGCAAAAAAGTTAGCTAGTTTCTTTAGTAACCCAGGATTCAGTCCATTGAGTCCAGCTGATTTGCCTATGTCAAGCTTATTTAGCAGACCGAAGACATCAAGTTCTTTAAGAGGACTTATAAAAAATGATCTTGCTTTATTCAAGGAATGTGATAGCACATCAAACAGTCCTATGATATAAAAATCCTCTTTTAAAACTCTAAAACAGATACTTAAGAAAATATCTATCTTACGGTCATTGGGAATGGACCTTGATGAGAGCGGCTAAAACAACTGTGGTCGCGCCATGGATCCTGCTGGTTAGTTTGTTGTCTTTTCATAGTATTGTGCAGTTATTTCCGCACTTCATTGTCTTGAAAATGATCACCATGAACAACTGGACTTTGAGGATGAGAATTTTTCAATAAACCCATGGGAGACAGAAGTATTTATTCTTCTGTTTTTAATATTGCTTTAAAGCTACTTTCTTTAAAGAATAATAAAAGAGAGTATCATGAAAGTTCAGCTTCCTCTTCAAGTTCAGACAGTTCTGAGTCAAGTCCTTATGATGAAGGTGAAATGAGAAGTAGTGACGAGTCGGAGTTCAGCAAGGACGAACAGAGTTCCGAAGAAGGGGAAGTGCAGTCTGAAATTGATGAGGTAATTGTTTGGCTCACGCTTACATCGCCCTTTTTCTATACTGTTTTTCCTTTTTTCCACCTTGACATCTTGAAGACATCTTTCAGCACCATCTTCCACTAAAAAAAGATCATATAATATTTTACTTCGTTTCACCTAATTACTTTTTCAAGTGTGATCTGGGAGTTAAGTGTTCGTTTTCTTTAGCACACATACACAGATTGCTAATATTTGCTCGTTTTCCTCCGAAGCATGACCTGTTTAAGTTGGAGCCACGGCAATTAGTGCTAATGTTAGAAGCAGGATACTAGATCAAAATAATATCTTGGTTAGTGTGATTATAAACGTTCATCTACTTAGTTAATTTGTTTGTGTGTTTCCCATGCCCGCGCCGATTAGCACTGGTCATTACACGTGTAACTTTGAGGAAGATTAGGAAGAACAAAGCCACTATTTTGCAAATCAATTCAGTGTTTGACTGCTGTTTTAAGTGATATATATATATATAGTATTCAAATCAGCATGTATCTTTGGTTTTAAACGTCTTATTTAAAGTTCTAAACTTCCGTGATCAGCACAATGTGTTATAGTATCTTAGCTGATCTTGTTTACGCACATGGTTTGTTTCTAAATTTTTGTAGATCGAGGGAACAGCAGATGTAATAGTAAAAAAGGACGAAACCCCTTGGGAACGTGGTCTGCGTTTGGCGCGTGAAGTGAGTCATAGTCTTTTTCCTATCTGTATTTAAACATACAACACATAAGGACGTCGAAGTCCTGCTTCACTCCGTTTTTGTTGACCAGCTACAATCGTTAGATCTCACAATTAGTATTGTTCATACCCAAGTACTTAATGAACGAGTTGGTCTAAAAACCATTATTATTAGTGTCAGGACCTACTGAAGTTAACATATCACTACTTTTGTTTGATTTCTAATGTCGATCATTTTTTCCGCAATCATCTTACCTACTTCTTAAGTGTAACGATTTGGTGAATTCAGGTGGAATGTCTCACTACTCAGTTTAGTACTTTAGTAGTTAATAAACGCTTATCGTAGCGTCTTTCGTTATTCAGGTCAGATCTAATTTCATGAGAAGTAAGGCTTAATTCGTGGTCCTTGGTTTGAACCACTGAAAACCAGGGACCGTTGGATACCTCATGGTTGCTATCCACCGTACTCCTGGAATTGGCACTAGTTTCTACTAAAATTCAGTTCAAAATGGTAAAATGTAAACGATTTAGTTCCTGTTTCGTCAATTATTGTTTTCGTCATATGATGATTTACGAACTTTCACTTTAGTGTTTTTGTATTGTTAGTCAAATACCTTATCGTTAAATATCAAATTATCAGTTATTTAAAACAAAGGATTCTGTGAATAACTAACAGTAGAATAATACAGTTTCATTTTTTAAAGGCCTCATCACACTAATCACTGTTCAACTAATATGTACGCTTGTAAGTTTAGCTTTAGCGTCAGAGATGTTATGAAACTTTATTGTGAATAATTGCCTGTAATCTTGTACGTACAGATTTACAAAAAAGTACCCTTCTAAGCAGCATTAATAGTACAAGGTGACAACTCATTTATCAAGTACGGATTTATATTCTTGGCTCAGAGTCACTTTAGTCGTGCGAGCTAATGATACTACCACCCTGTTGTTCATACCAAATTAAAAGCAGCTGGGTTTGAACCTGCGGCTTAATGAATGGAAGTCTATCACTCTAATCACAAGAGAACGGAATAAACGTTTATGAATCATAAGACCGACAGACTGGAAATCTAACAGCACAAATAATGAAAATAAGAATTGAGATATTTGATGTAAAGAGGCACAATAATTCATTCATTGGTTCAGAAGGGTAAAGAAAGAATGTACCTGGGTCATTGTGATTTTCTCTGTACTTTTTCAGCTACTCTCATCTATGACATTCATATAGTAAACGGTAATATTTTTTAAAATAAAAATGAACGTATATACCATGAAATACTGTAAATAGGTAACAACACTCAACGTTTTTCCCCGTTTAAACATATTTGCGACTTCTTTGGGTACGTGGTAACAAAAAGACCAACGTATATCTTGACTTGATCAACGCAAGGCTACTCTCACCCCACTGGGACTTCAAACTTAGTTTTACGGCAATATAAAGAGTTACTGATTATCTCATATATATTACTTATCCTAATTGATGTATTAGCATATCCCCATCAATCTGTTTGTCTTGTCTCAGCATAGCTTTACTATGTACATCAATCTTACTTATTCACTGGTCCGACTGTATGTAATTTGTATATGCAAGGGTTTTTATTGTGCTAAAAGTCTATCAGTTCCATAGAAAATTGTATACTGTTTATTATGACATCGAAATTGATTAATAAGGTACTGGGAATGACTAATAATCAAGTGATCATCCGGCCATGGTGACTAAATAAATCATTCGCTCACAAACTGTTTGCTAACCTCCAACTGAATAATTATCAAAGTACATAACCGATTATTATATCACTTACCATCTATGTTTTCGTTCAATGAAAATCACTATTTTGTAGATGTATTTATTTTAATTATCCCGTTTATGTATACGTCATAATCGACTTGAGAGTTTAAAACTTCTGAGGATTATATATGCAAAACTGTAACTTAGTAGTTTTATTGGCTGACTGTTGATTATTAGATTCAGGTTCTGAAACATGTCCTTAATGTGATCTGATTAACATTATTAGGCTTCATACGGCAGACGTGTTTATCACGTAAGCTTGTCATAGTTATTGAATCTAGTGTTTTAAGATCATTGCATGATGGAAACTAGTATTGCGGATGGCCGAAAGTTAGGGTCGGACAAAGCAAAACGTGGCATCGGTGCTTGAAGTCACTAAATTCTAGTCTTATCCATATTGGTAGATGCAAACTACTTGGTTGGGATCCGCGTGACTATCATAATCAATGGTTGGAGACTTCTGGTGACACGGCTCAGAATCTTTCACAATGGCGTAGGCGTATACACTCTTTATATTCCCTTAAACTATGAGATTAAAATCGCTTCATATCTTTCTACTAGCTATTTCTTTCTCCCTTTACTATATCCTTATATGTAATCTTTTATATATTGCAACCATTGACTTGACTACTTCTATGAATCCTTTGTTGATCTTGTGCTAATGTGTGGCAACTTGAACCGATGCATATACGTGCCTGGTCCTACTTTGTAGCTGACTGACTGAATCAACCATCCAGGCTATCACTATTGAAGTGAACACATAAATTTTGTTGATTCGAAAATAATTTTTTTACAAATGAGATAGATATAACGAATGTGACTTTCTGTCATTAAGTTACAAATATAAACCTCACACCACCTATAAATAAATAACATATTTGTAATATCCCAATGAGTAGAAAAAATTAGATTTTCTGACGTTTCGTGTCTTAGTGTAAGCCACTTCTTCAGAGAATAAATAACCAGATTAAAAATAATGCAATTTTAATTTGGTTATTTATTCTCTGAAGAATTGGCTTACACTAAGTCACGAGACGTCAGAAAATCTAATTTTCTACTCGTTGGGATATTACAAATATGTTATTTATTTATAACACCGGCTTCGGTTTAGCCCCCCCCAGCAGTATCACATCCCTCACACATATGAAATGAGATTTGTGTGGCACATATGTATTTGGTGCCTCTTTGTACCAATATCTGTGTTAAAATAAATAAATAAATAATTTATTTATAACAATCTACACAATGCTCAATTTATTAGAAATTATCAAATCAGACCTTGATAATGATACCTATTCACCCCACCTACTTCATATCAAACGTCTAAGTGGTATCACTAACGCTTATATACAATGTGTTCCAGTTCTAGTACACATGTAGCAGGTTCTACCTTGCGTATCACTAACTGACCCTATTATATAAAATCGTCTTTGGTAAATTTATTACAGTAAGTACTGTAACTAAATTACATATGCTACTCGTTATTCATATTCTTATTTTAATCCATGCACTTTTTTCCTATCAACAGCGTTTAGAACGTGCAAAAGCTTTAAAGGCTAAGGAAAAAGATCTTGTTGAAAAGCGTATGAATTTACCGGTACCCGCACCGGCGGTGGATAAGAAAGTTGAAACTCCTGTAGAAGATGATTTTTTGTAAGTATGTTTGCTCTAATTACTAAGAGATAGATCATATTTAAAAATGCATTACCTCCGGAAACTAATTCGTTTCATTTTTGTTTAGCAGTTCATGTACTCTCAATCATTCTAAATGGTACTGATCCATGTACATATATTCAAAGGAAAACTTAAATTGTGGCAGAAACGGAACTGGCAATCTACATTCTAACAAACGGGCGCTGTATCAGTTAAGACATATCTATAGATGAAAATCGATCTTCCAACCAAAAATGTTTTGAATAGTTTATTATTTAAATAATGAACTGACCATGTACTTGACAAGGAAAAAAAGTTGTATATTTTAAGGCTGTGAATAAGGATAGTATAAAGTTTAATCTGAATATTCATCTCTAACTTCCCAACCGTTACAAATTGGATGAGGTGTTTTTTATACCGTTACTCACGCCCGAACATAGCTTATTTCATCCTTATTTGCACCCCTCTTGTGTGAGAAAGTCGAGTAACAAAGTCAAATAACCACTACGTTCGCTTTTTTTATATTTTCACTCTTCGTTTCTTTTCACTATGCGCTTCTTAGTAACGTCGAAAAATACTTTTCTCCTAATGTCATATTAAGTAGTTAATCGGTATAACATGTTAGCTTGTTTTTATTTCCAGATGGCCTTGTTATTATCAAGTATGTATTATTGGGCGCACTGAACTAACTGGTCACCGATATCTTCCGGAGGATATTCTTCCTCCAAGTGCAAAAGAAACATCAGAATGGCGAAGAAGAGTTACGAAACATCGTCGTAGTCGAAGTGCTAGTCGGCGTTTCTCATCCGCATCGTCATCAACCTCAGTTTCATCTTCGTCAAGAAGCTCTTCTCGTAGTTCTGTGGCGTCGTCAAATATTTCCTCCTTAGCTTCTGTCGCAGTATCGTGGAAAGAAACTTGTGCTAAGGCTATGAAGCCTTACTTAAGATCACCTAGACGTCACGGAAAATATGATAGCAGACATTCTTCCGCTACCAATTCTCGCTCGTCTGATTCCGATTCTGGGTCTGGTCGTTCTCGTTCTTCTTATCCTACCGCAGCGAGCGGTGCAAGATCTGGTGCTATGAATGATCGTGGCCGCAGCTACTGGGGAGCTGGAAAGCATCGAGGTAGAAATATAGAATCTGGCAATTCGTCTGCGTCAAGATCAGGTTCTAAGTCTTCGACAGGATCTCGTGGTCGTAAGAGCGGTGGTAATCAAACTTGGTTCAGAGGTTAGTTCAGTTACCAACTTTACCTGAAATATTTTGAATAAATCGAATCAAAATAACGAGTGTTGTTTTACTTTATTATTATGCTCTCATAACAGTACCCCACAATTTCGAAGTATCCGTAACATGAGTATAGTTGAGTAGAAAATCCAGCAAACGACATAATCGTATTATCCAAAGTTTTCGTTACATGCAGTACTCTGTTTCAGTGACGAAGAGGAGAGGAGTAGAACACATCTATTTTACTTCTGCTCTAAATTGTTTATATTAATTAAGTAGAATCTCATATCATACTTTTTAAATAGTTAGATTTTTGTATTCTCTTTCTCATTTTATGATAGGTCCTGGAGGACGCGCGGGAGATTCGAAGAATAAAACTGGTCGACGATCAAAATCACCTGTTACCTCACCACCTCGGTAATGTCTTTCCTCCCTATTTTTAATGACCTCCCTCATTTAATCTCTTTTAGTCTACATATTAACTAGTATTCTTATCGGTACAACGTTTATTGTTTTCTTCTCTCTCTATTATTTAGACGACGTACGGATGTTCCACCGCTTCCGAATGAAAGACCAGTAAAGAGACCTTGGGTTATAGCACCATCCCTTGCTACTACAGCACAAAATGTGCCGAAAAGTAAGTATTTTTTGCCTGGTGAACACTATTGATAATGTTGTTTAAAAGTGTTATTATTAACTTCACTGATACTGAAGAATCATACTCTGTACGAGTTTGATTAACTGAATAGGTTATATAAATAAATGAATTCCTACATTGTTTTGTATATACATATTTATATTGCTTCAAAGTTGAAACGTAAGGGCTAGTTAAGGGATATGCTGTCTGCAAATACAACTTATGAGGAAGGAAATTAATATCGATTTAAAGTAAATAGAGGATCAACTTTCAACACATTATCGTTACGTTACTTTATGAATTTTCGATGGATTTCTACTACGATTATGTTTAGTGACAGTCATTCAATTCATAAATCCTAATCTTTGTAACTGATATATAGTCGATTAAGTTGAAATGTATTGTTAATTATAATAAGGTCATCATCAATAAAGCTTCCATCATGAAACCGGACTTCTCTCTCTCTTGTTAACAAGATAAGGAAATATTACCACAACACATAAATGCATTATACACTAATCGGTTGTCCAAACTGAACCCATGACTTAGTGGTTGAAAGTTAAATACTTTAATCAAATGAGCCAGCTCTTCACAACTAATACATATTTATCACTTTTTAGAAAGCTAAAATTTGAATAGACCAAATGGGATAAATTGCTTTATATTTTCTTGAAGCTGACTGACTTCATTTTTGTAAATAAACATTGACTGTTTTTTTTCTAACAAATTGATTTACCTCTAAAATTTATTTAATCTGTAATTCTATAAACGCTAACACAAATAAATTTGTTCGTGATTTGAAATGGCATAATACATATTCGTTGCACGTTATATTCACTGACTGTTTGAAGATTCATTTTAATTAATGAAGTAGACGAAGTAACACATTGACGATCGGTTCTTTCAAGTAAAGACTCAACGTTACTGTTATTGTATGATTTGAAAAAAAACTCTACGGAAATACACGTGATTGTTAATATAAGGCACTAAGTTAACTTATGTATGCTACATTCCTAATTCATTCAAAATAATCAAGTTTAGTGTATTTTACACGGAATTCAAAAAAGTGTATTTTAACATTCATCATAAAAAGTATGTCACTATATCAGACTGTCTCTATTCAAGATTAAGGTTGATACTTGCTAAACAGAAGTGATTGTCTGAGCATATTTATAGCAAAAGTGTATTACGTACGGCCAACAACTTCATACCTTGACGCACGATGTTTGTTAATGTACGAGTAAGTTGGAGAAAAACTAGAGGCTATCTAGTCAAGACGTGGCGCGTCAGTTCACAAAGCTATTGACTGTTAGGTTGAGCTATGTCGGCAGATGCAAACTACCTGGCTAGAGTCCACGTAAATGTTCAACTAATGGTTGGATATGTATGTATGTAGTTGCAACAGAATAGATGTATTCACTATTTGTCTCCTCTTAGATCTTGAGTTTTCAAAGTATTTCCATGGTTGAAATCATGAGTTAATTTAAACTAGACCACCATTAGAAACCTGAAAGCAATAGACGGCTATTATATCCTAATATGGGACTACTGAGCAGTGCGAATCCACGACTTCACATGTGGAACTCACTAGTGACTAGCTTCAAGATATAACTCCTGGAATTCTAGCGAGAAACCATAACCAGTAGCGTTCAATGTGTCAGGTGTGAGACAGTTATATCTCGCAAGCAATGGAGAAAAGGTTGCACAAGATCATTGATTAAGTGAAGTTAGACATTAACACCATCTTTCAGTACAGTGGTCTAGATGTTAAGCGTCCTCTCATGAGACCGAAGTCTTGGATTAGAGTCCAGCGTGTGTGATCGTAGATGCACACTACTGAGGAATTCCATGTTTTAGGACGAAACGGCCGTCCAATGTTTCCGGGTTTTTCATGGTGGTCTAGCTTAGATCGACTCATGATTTTAACTGTGAAAATACTACAATCTCCACAAATCTCCCATACTTTTCGAAATATTTTATACTTTTTATTCCACAAATTCATTTTTTCTTCTCGAAATGCAGAATATTGCTTCGGGATTGGGTGGCATCGACACACGAACTAATGATAGGGAGTGACGCAGTTGAACATCTTAACCGCCTCGCTTATCTTAGAAGTCTCATCAGCCCTTGTGGTCTGGTGTGTGGCGAAATCTCGGCACGGATACAGAAGGCTCGACTAGCTTTTGCCAACTTACGTCATTTATGGCGTAGGCGAGTTATCCGTCTACCAACCAAAGGATGGGTTTACTGCGCAGCAGTTCGTTCCGTCGTACTTTATGGCAGTGAAACGTAGCCGGTAAGAATAGAGGATATTCGTAGACTACTAGTATTCGATCATAGGTGTCTTCGAAATATTGCTCGTATATCCTGGGACCACCGAGCAAGTAATGCAGTTGTCAGGAAACGGGTACTAGGTAAGGATGGCAAATCGATTGATGAAGTAGTGAAACTTCATCAGTTGAGATGGCTGAGACATGTGTTACGTGTGCTCAACGACCGACTGCCTCGACGTGCGATGTTCATTGGTGTAGGAGTAGGTTGGAAGAAAGCTGGGGTCGGCCAGACCAAAACATAGCACAAGTCCATGAAGTCACTGACAAATGGACTGAGTCATGTTGGTAGGTGTGGACTACCTGGTTGGGGACCGCGAGATGATAGCAACCGATGGTTAGAGACCCTGAATGACATGGCTCAAAATCGTTTGCAATGGCGCAAGTGCATCCACTCTTTGTGTTCTCCCAAATTCTAATCTTCTGAATTCTTCTTGTCTCTTTTTTTTCTCTTTTTAAATTTATTTCACTGTATTATACTCCTTGAATAACATCTTCAAATCCTAATGTTTCCGATTACTGCTTATACTTTTACTACCTCTACCACTACGGGATTTGAGTCGACAACTGCATCTCTGTGCTAATATGGTGTGGCAACTCGAATCACATTGTCTTTGCTGAATGTTATTTTCTACTATCATTGATACTATTATTATTATTATTATTATTATTATTATTATTATTATTATTATTATTATTATTATTATTATTATTATATCAAATATCCTCTGTATCTTTCTTGAAAGAGAATAATGTAATATAGAAATACCTAAACGATTCATTAACTTATATGTTCAACAATTTTGCTGTATATACACTTAAATTATATTCGTATATATATATAATTTGATTAGGTGATGGACACACTAAAGAACGTTCTCATTCATCTTCAAAATCACCAACTCCTGGTGATAAGGATACTGGAGAAAAACGATACATTACGTAAGTTGTGTTGTATAATCATTTATTATATTTAACTGTTAATCATAGTTATCGGAAATCAAATATCCACTTATAATTTACTTTATGAAACATATTTATTATTTAAACACATAAACACTGGTACAAGGAGGCAACAAATAGATATGCGCCACCTAAATCACTCGATTTATGTGAGTACTGGGATACTGCCCGGGTCCCCAAACCGAAGCTGGTGGTTTTCTTAGGGACCACACTCGGAGCCTTCGACCAAAAGGTCTGATCCAAAAGCAGTGGATCATTGTGAGGAGATGCAGTCTCATGTTAGCCGGTGACCAACGATTATTTTATAATCCATTTGTTCCTTCAGGATCCTGGGGCCAGTCCATGTGCACCATTGGTTTGGAACCAGGGTTTTCCAACTCCCCTAGGTGGACTCTCCATGTCCACCAACCCGGATAAAGCACCGGACATTCGCTTTTCGTCCTCTCAATTTCGTAAACAACACCCCCGCCACGAGAAGGCAGTGAGTAGGACTTCGCTGGCAGAGGCTATATACGCGTGGTCATGTGAGAGCATTTGGAGAGGGAGAGCAGACTCTCCCCACTCTCCACCGTACCAGGGCATTCGTGGTCGATACTCCAATAGTGATATGTTGTGATAGGGTTGAATTTTCAAAAAAAATTGTCAAACATCTTTCTTTAGTAAGGTTATTTACGGGATAAGACTTCCAATCCCATCCTTAACCCTACCTTGCCCGAACTTGGGATCAGCAGTAACTCTGAAAGAGCTCCAAGCGGAGTTTGGGTGTACTATAGCAACAACAGGACAACTAAGTCTAAAAAGATAACATTTGATGCGACGACAACTCCCTAATTCAAGTTTTATTGTGAACATGAAAATCCAGTATAAAATGTTATGTGAGACATTTCGAATTCAATCTATAGACAAAACTATGAATAGCACATTTACGTGGGTAAATTGTGATTATCAAAAATTTATACGACCCAAACTAAATTAACAAAAGTAGTATTTGATATCTGTATTCTAATTAATATTTTTTAAACAATTAGTTCCTGGTCTCGTAGTCCATCTTCTGGAGGTGAGAATGGTCGTGATGTTCATCGTCATGAACGTTTACCTGATGTAATTCCTGGCCCACAACATGTACGGAATAGACGAAGTGGTGTTGGTAAGTACCACTGTTGTTGAGGTTTTCACTGATCACAAAATTCTAAATAACTAACATATATTGATTAATTTCTTTTGATAACAGATCGAATTAGTTGACTAGTTAAACTGGTCTGTCACTTCATTAGCACAACAAGATGAACACCGGATTCATGAAACTTGTTAATTCAGAGGTGATAATATATAAAAGAAAGATTGCATATCATCCTGTGACAACCATAGAGGGATTAGTTTAACTAATATAGTATCTAAAATTCTAGCCTCGATAACTTTAGGACCCCTAACTAAGACTCGTGAACTGCAAACACGAGAGAATCAAGCTGGCTTCAAACCTGATCGTGGCTGCATCGACCACATATTCACCATTCGTTAGGTTCTAGAACACAGGCATACTTATCGGCGTCCGACAATGGTGGTCTTCCTTGACTTAAAAGTAGCATTTGACTCCGTAGACCGTGAGATTCTGTGGCAGTGTCTGTCATTGAAAGGTGTACCTCAGAAGTACATAAACCTTGTGAAGGCTCTTTACTCGAACACTACCGGTCGAGTCAGAGCTTATGGCGAACTGTAAAGACCTTGACTTTTATAAGGTTAGCGATACAACTAATTAATTGGACTCGGTACCAGTGTACGGAACATTATTATTTATTTATTTTAACACATAGATATTGGTACAAGGCGGTACCAAATACATATGCGCCATATAAATCTCATTTAATATGTATGAGGGCTGTGATACTGCCCGGGTGACTAAACCGAAACAGGTGGTTTTCTTGGGGGGTCACTCCCCTAGCCTTCGACCTGAAGGTCTGATCCACAAGGCAGTGGAGCATCGTAGGGAAATGCAGTCCCACGGAAGCCGGTGACCAACAATTGGTTCATACGGCATTTGTTCCCGCAGGATACTGGAGCCCATGTGCATTATTAGTTTGGAATCCGGTCAAAGCGCCGGACATTCGCTTTTCGTCCTCTCATTTTTGTAAACAACACCCCGCCACGGAACAACAGTTTTCTTGAATTTTATGTGACTCTATCCGAACATCTAGTGAAGAGTACATATACTGTTAGTAGATAAAATCGAGTTACAATTACAGTTGCTTCAGTTTAGTGGGATGGATCACTGTCTATTGTCTCCTTCCAGTTAGTTAGTTAATTAGTTTACTTACTTAGGGATATCACATGCATGCATCCCTGAAGAATGAACCACCGGCTAGTTTGTTTATGATTGTCTTCAGGATTCCTTCTAATTCCTTGGTTTAATTATTTTTCACCAGTCATGAGATACAAAAGATTACAGTCGAATTAATTTTTTTTTAAATCTATGGATCAATAGAACTGGCTTTTCACATGGTCCTTCTGTTATTCCAGTTATTTGATAACAATATCCCTTCATAAACTGATATTGGGGAAAATTGGGGTGGTCATTTCCCTCCATTAATTCATGAAATAGAGTTGAGTTGATGATAGTTAGATCATGTATGTGGTTTCCAAAACAGCTGATGTGTTTTACACATATTGTTAAGCTAAAACTTAGAAGAATCAATCCAAACAGCGTACAATCTTCAGTGTTAATTTATAATTCGCTACTAAAGTAAGACAGAATATATTAACTACATGTCAGTAAAAACTGGTTACCTCTTAGACTATTCAATTAATAGGTTAACTCACATTTCTGTAAAGAAGCATCGGTGAATGAGTTTTTCCTGTATAAGACGGTGACCAGATTGCCACCGTACATTGATTGTTTCTTCGAAGTCCACGCATAACAACATATTCTACTGTCTTATAATCATAGTTTTCTGAATTAATTCAGACATGTACACAATGTCCACTACTAACCTAGTTTAAACTCGAAATGTCTAAATTTGCTTCTGTACTGTTTTCGCAAACAATTGTCCCAAAACAGAGTGAATATGTAGATATGTTTTATGTTGTTAGTAACAAAATACTTCGAAGTTGTACAACAATGTTTTTTTTGCATTTGTAACTAACTGTATCTTAGTTGTTTCAACATAATATTTTGTCGAATGTTTTCGTTTCAATCTTTTTTTTAACCATCCCGCCTACCTTAAAAACACCTGTTTATTTCTTCGTTAAATAGCGTCACCATTACGCAGAAAGAAAAGTCGTAGCCCATTTGCAGATGACGCAACTAGACCATCTACTTTGACTAATTGGGCTCCAAAATCTGTCAGTTATCCAGAAAACGCAAGAAATGATATGCCCAACAGTCAAACTAGTACCATTAATGATCAAAACTGTCCAGTTGTTATGGAACAACACATTGAACCTGAAGCATTATACCGTTCCAGTAATACTGATACTCTTTCAAACACTGTAGTAAATTCTGCTCAGTCAGTTTCGACTGGCGGTGCTGCTGGTGAACTTCCACCAAATCGTCCTGGTGTTCGTTTAACATTGGCGCCAAGAATGAAGGTAATTTTATTAAAATTTGAACGAAAACTTTAATATAACCAAAGGTTAGCAATGGGCTTTCTAGGGTGCAATTTTCGTACTATCTGAAGCTCATCAACTAAATGTACCTGGATCCCAGAGTTGATGTTCATCCTGAGAGTCGAACCTAGTGTCATTTATTTCAAACATCATTGTATTATCTACTTAGCTACTGACTTCACATAGTTTTACAATGATCATATAAATTAGCAAATTTCATACCAATTTTTGATTATCAAGTTGCCATAAAGAATTTTTTTTCATACACTCGACGTACTTATTGTCCTTGTTACTTGTACATATAAACTAAATTGATAAGTTAAATAGCAACTAATCATCATAGAGAATCTAATTTGATCACTTTCTCATTTCTTACTTCATTAAATTAAGCGACAGTTATTCATTTTGAGAAGTTGAATTAAAACTATTCTGTTTCATTATTTCGTAACAATAAAAACTACAAAACCTTATTTATCCACTGATTAAATGTTTCTTATTGACACTTTAAGTGTATGGTAAAGGATTCTTCAAGTTTACCACTTTTTTAATATTCTATATGATAAGGTAAATACAACTGAATGTAACTAAAAGAAGATCCGTTATCTAATGTTAAGCTTTCTGTGTTATTATATGTGATAAAACATAATTCTGTTGTTAAGTAGAGTAGTTAAAGGCAATCAGAATAGAAACTCTAGTTGATCTAAGTTTCATGTTAGATACCACTTATTAGTACGATATATCTACAATGTCAAAGGAAATTAATTGTGCCTATGAAATTCAAATTCTATTTCCAACCTATGAATTATTCTGCATTCTTGCTGATATATGGATTCAAGACAGTTGTAAAGTGTAATATTAACTGATTCAGTCAATAATCATTGTCATATGTGCATAGATAGAAATTCTAAAGAAAATTATAGGTAAAATCTAATTGAGAAGTATTATTAGTTTTATTCGTCATGTCATCCAATCGGTAAGTTTATTAACCTTCGATTACTTCTCAGCTCAATCTAAATGGTTTTTTGTTAGGGTTAACATCAGTTAATTGAAACTAGAATGAAATTTAACTTTAAACACTGTTGTACTTTTGTATTTTAGGCTGCACCTGTAGGTATCAGCTCACTTGCGAATGCTGCACCTTCTCGTACATCTACTAACCGCCTGCCACCTCAACCATCATCACCACCACCCCAATCTCGACAAATTCGACCTCCTGGTGTTCCTATATTGCATCGTCATACGTCTCCTATTGATACTAACCAACATTCTACTGTTGGCACTAATATTATTAACATGCCCATGACACAGACTCAAGTTCGTTTACAGGCAGAAGCCGCAGCGGCTGCATTGGAAATACGTGAGCGACGAAGAGCGGCTGCTGAAGCGGCGAACAAGAATAGACGACCACGTCGACATAAACGAACAGATTTGGAAAGCATACCTGTGCGTGGAAGACCGACTTATAGGCGAAAATCATTTTCAGCCTCTTCAGAGGCATCTGGCAGTTCTAGCTCTTCTAATTCTTCCAGATCGCCATCTAGTGGCCGTTCTCGTTCTGACTCAGGTAGACCTGCTGCAGTCCGACATAATCCTGCAGGTCGTCAAGCACCACTCATTAAACATGACCAAGAGGCTGTCCGTCCAAGTGGTCGTAAACGTGTTCGTCAAGACACGCAACGTACAAGCCTAAAAGAGATTGATGAGAATGCAACACGTCGACATGTAGGACGTAGCACGTTACTAAACAGTATTGATCCTCGTGAACCATTAGAATACGTTCGATATACTAAGCAATCAGATTTTAATGAACGTCCTACGCATAGAACACGTGGGACAGATCAATTTATTCAGAAACCTATACAACCTATGAAACGATCCTATCCCTCTGGTTAGTTTATTTTACTAATATTCTATAAACAATTAATTGGTATGTGTTGATAAGAATGAGGTAATTAAATTAAAAATACTATGCAGTAATTTGTAGCAAAAAATTAACTAGCTTCATCCTGTGTATGGTTTTTTAATAAGACTGGGAACTGATAAATTTAGCTATCATAAAATATGAGCTTTCTCAACCAACAACGCTGTTCTATTTGTTTTGATGCCAGGACTGCATGAGAGATTACAAGAGGAATAGCATATTTGATTCAGTTTGTTTTATGTAATGTGTTTAATATCAGTCAATTTCCTAGAGCAATAACATCGTAGGAATTAGCAGGAATGTCCATCGCACTCCGATCTGTATCAAAATCAACCAGTTTATTAAGTAATTCACCATTATTGTCTTATTAATCTCTTAACTACGAAGTTTGCACTGTCATGCATACACTTCAAGGCCAACATTCAATAGCTCGATAGACTTATTCAACAGTATGATATGTTCGTGTTCCACTTATCACCAACTCACTCTTGTTGCTGGTTCAGCATAGCGCGTCAGAGTCGTATGGCATACATAACGTATATATCAACCACCTCAGTAATATAAGACCTCGTCAATCAATTTGCCCTTATTGCTACATATTCAACTTAACCATTGCCCAGTTGATCAGTTCTGTCGTATATGAGTAGTGATGGTTCGAATATACCTATGATCAAGTACTTCCAATCCACTCACGTCTCCCACTTTCAATGGTCTTGCTTCACAGCTGTAAACCAATACAGATTGAACTATTGTGTAGTTTATTAGTCCTTTTATTGATAAACAATCTAGCTTGTGGTACAACTGGTGTTTTTGAAGAGACTGGGCGAGCTGATTTTATCTGTTTCGAAAGTTTGTAAGTCATGGGCCTACTGAAGGTGGATGGAAGTAATAGGATAAACGGCAGAAATTAATATGACCTCTGAGCGGTTCATATTCATAGGGTAATAAAGCAAGTTTCGTCCTTTAGACCCTTATTCTATTTAAATCATGAATACTAGCATCCTGAAGCTCAACGATTCACCATTTCACTCTTTTCTATTTAATCTTCCTGTTGTCTAGCTTTTCTTTTTTGTGGTATTTAGAACTTTAATTCTGTTAACTATCCAGCCAGTCTTAATTATCATAATCATTCATTACCTGCTTTCTATAAAATAATCCTATAATCTGATATTATTTTTCAGGCGTCGAGGAAATGCCAATACGGCAACGTCCGGAACGAGATTCACGTCTGCCTGGTGCTCACTATCCGAATCAGTCTGTTGACGAACTGCACAGAGTTGTCAATCCTGAGAATAGACGTACTGCTGTTAGTCAGTTCAATATGCCAACTAAGGAGAGGATCATTAGACCGAGAACACCTCATGGTTTAGAAATGATGGATTTCAGGAGCCGATCACCTCATGCAGATGTCGACATATTGCCTAAAATTATTCGCCTTGATCGCGAACAATATCGCAGAGTTAACTACGACGTACCAGATGTCAGTATTTGCGAAAAATCATCAGCTGATTTAACAATCGTTGACTCTACAGATAGTTTTGGTGCTAAACGTGCTCGTAGTCGTCATCGTAGCAGAGGACCTGGTGTAACTATTGATCGATCTGAACCATTTGAGTCAGATACAGGAAGTTTTGCTGCAGAACAACGTCTTAGAAAACTTCGCGAGCGTTTGAACTTGGTTGATGACGCAATCGCAGAAATTAAAGCCGGTACTGGGGCACAATCCAATTTTAATTTTGGCGATATTCGAAGATGATAAAGACTACCATTGTTATTAATCAAATCATCAACATGTACATTGTTGTCTCCATTTTATTTCTTTCTGCACAAAAGACAACTCGCTATATTTACTCCCTTCCCCGATCTTGTCTAAGTCAATTGTTTGTATCGTGTTTTTCCTATCAATTATAGTCAGTTTTATCTGACATACCACTCTCTAACTACCATTTTTAATGGCATAAAATTAAGACCCATTGCATTGGATAAAGCAGTTTTCGTGATACCTGTCGTTGGCTTGTGTAATATTCATTCTTATCAACGCATGCGGTGATGTCTAATGATGTAAGTGTAACCAATAGCTACGCTCAATGTCGTCTTAATTTTTGATGCAACTCAGTAAATAAAGCTCGAGTTTGTATGTGAGGACTTGTTACCAATCTGTTTCCTAGGCCAAAGTATATTTAGGGTCAATCAAGTGATCATAACCTACCATTTGGGATCCGAGTTTTAAAGATTATCTCTGTACTTCACGTAGGTAAAATAACGATAACAATTCGAATTAAATATAGAACCCCAATTTTATGACTCGACAATTGAGAAACACTACAGAATTAGCTTATTAAAAAGCTGAACGAAACAAAAGTGAAAGGCACAGAGTAGTACAGTAATAGGACAGTCCATGTTGGTGACGTGTATGTGTAAGTAGAGTATCCTAAGCATCATAGCTATGGGTACATACCAACTCCCCTTCTATTTCATTCACGTTATGGTTGAAGTAGAAACAGTAGTAAGAGGGACAATCCTACATTCCTTAGTAGTGGTTTGTATTCGGCGACGCGCAAAAGACCACTAGATATGTTGCGTACTTGTATTTGATAGTGTCTCAAGATACGTAATATCACTATGCAAGCGTATGTTACATGATGCAAACAGGACGCTCTTCAGATATAAAAAGAATAACGCCAAGGCACACCTAAAGATCAAACAATATAACAGGCATCAGAGACTTCTCTTCAAATGACGTCAAGAATTAGTCCACTGCTGGGATGTTGATATTACCTTCTAAAAGACCGTGTGCCAGTCTAGGCAGTCGACATACTTGACGAACTGTCTTGGGTTTTTTTTCTTGAACTATTTGATCAGATCAATCCCATGATTTCAGGAAAGACATACCTACATCTCATAAATCTGTAGCTTTCAGGCGATCAGACCAATTATGTATTGAATATGATGCTTTCCGCTATTCGGAATAAAAAGCTGTTGCTTAGCTATACAAAGCAGCCTTACAATCGATTGGTCAGTGAGTAGTGACTAAGATTGTGTTTGTTTAGTTTCTCTGATCGAGTCCTATCGATCAATTTGTAATATGGTTCCTAGTATAAATGACTCGAAATTGGGTCCACTACGTTGATATATAAAGTAATGGTAAGAGGTGGTCAACATGAAACCCTCGACCTATATTTCGCGCTACTTGGCAGTCGTCAGGAACTTGTACCCGTAATGCTGAGGAGATTGATGCTCCATGGCGGATTCCCAACATACTCCATAGAATTCGATCAGAACTGATAATAACCATTTCCCCGTGACCAATCAATCGTGAATACATCTCCGAGTCCTAAACAGCACGAAACGTAGGTCAATGGCTTTTTGTTAACTACCTTTAACCACCACTCTACGCAGAGAAAATGTTAACTGAAAGTATTTGGTGGTGGAATTACGGACTAGTTTCTTCATATTGTATTGTGTCTGAACGAGCTATTATAATACGCTACTTACTGTGCCAAATACAGCCCAACGGAAACCCGCTGTTTTATGCCGAGATTAGGAAGTGAATAAAATTTTTTATCAGAGATTACATTACCATAATGGACTCTGAAGTTTACATGCAATATTTATATATGGTTTATACAATTGTCACAAATGTGAAATTTTTTTATTCATCAAGACGATCAAAGTTTGATTCATGAAAAATAATCGTTTTTTTACATTCTGTGCATTAAAACGACCAAAATTTCTACTCAACATATGTGGAGCTAATTTCCAAAAGCAAGTAGTTATTCTTAGTCAAGTACTTATTTGATTGAGACCAAGTAACTACTGACTAGCAAGTATATCCGCAACTACATATGTGCTGCAGTTGTTGACTGGTTCACCAGGCACAGATGAGTGTAGTTAGCTTTGAACCACACTCAGAATGTGAAGGCTGATTGTTTTATTCGTTTGGGCAACTGATGTAGATCGAGAGTGGTTCGGATGCCATAACGACTTAGCCACCGCTTTATTATCGTGCTACTGGATGGTTACAAACAGTGCGTTTGGAATAAGTCAAACTGACCGAATAGTAAATAGAGGAACCATATGTCTGCAGCAATTACTTTCGCGACAGTTCTCACTTACTGAGGAGCTGTACAATTTTTTTATCCATCACTACGCACCATAACAAGCAGAAGGCACACATATTGGCTAGAAGATGAATTAATGAGCATTCAAACATAGAGCAATGAATGAATATATTTCAAACTATACAATCACAACTCGCTCTTATATAAAGTTATTGTCAGGACTGCTTTGAACTTAAAAGCTCACGCAACGCCTCTTTAGACTCACTTAACTCTTTATTTACTGTATCTCTGGCTTTCTATAGCAAAGTAATTATTAAAAGTAATCTTACCTGTGAAATCTCAATAGAATCAGTGATCTTATCTCTGTCCTTCTTTATATCTTCAATTAGAGTTTCCCTAGCCTTCTTGATGAACCTTCACATATTTAATAGTATACTTTTAGGCAAATTACATTCTCCCACATGCTTTGTAAGTAGCTACATCTTCAGGCAAGGTAACTAATTCACTCTCAATTAACTGTGACCGCCTGAACTTTATGTTAAGCGACTCTATTTGAGAATTTATTACGCTAATTTGTTGGTTCGCCATAACAGTTTTCTGTCTATGTGATTCAATAGCCTTTAAAGAAGATGAGGTACTTCTAGTCAATACCTTTTTAACATCTGGATCAGACATTACTAGATAGGTGACCTGGAAGCAAAGCCTACGCAAAGTTCTCTAGGTCAGTTCAATAGACAATAAGGTACTATGCAAATAAATATTTTGTGTCACGGGATGACTACCCGTTCAGGATTTAACTAACATATTACAGAATTTTGTTGTATTTTAACTTCAAATTTGTTTAGCAGAATTAGCAGACTGGTCGTTTTGAAGTGTCTATGTCCATGTTGTAGCAGAGTACATGTGATTACGGAGAATAGAGATACTTGTTATTTTCATTATATAAAATGAAGTTAAGAACTAAGTTAGTTGTCGAACCTTCTTTCATATGATTCACCTGAGTGTGAAGTTACAACAGCTTCCTATAGGGAGCACAAAAAATTAATGATTCGATTGGCGAAAAAATTTACACAGATTTTTGTGCGGGTTTCTTCATGTTCTATCTAAAGTGAATTAAAAATGCCACAAAGTTTGAAGTTTGACAACTCTTTCTTACGTAATACCTTTATAATTGGAAGATATCAACCCAGTCAAATAAGTAGTCAGTGAATAATGTGTCCGAAGATATAACTGGAAACTTGCCTATATGTTGAGAATCGTTTGATTTAAGCTGGTTAGTAGTTGCAAGGGACGCGTAGTACGGCATACCCACTGGTGACCTGGTGCGGATTTGTGACCGACTGCCTTCAGCCACAGTGTGTCCAGTCAAACTAATGAGGTTAGCATCAATGTCAAGGACTTACATAACTATTTCTTTTACGAATTTGTTTACTGCAACGACTAACTCGTTTCGTTATCTCCAAAATAAGGCCAGCCAGAATATTATATCAAACGAACATTCCATTGGTAACCGATACTCTTGCAGCTTTCTTTATCAAGCAGCATTCGGTCGACGTTCCATAATATAAGTAATTATATGCTGATGATAATATCTTTCTGCAATGGCAGGTGAATGCCATTTTTACAGGAATGATATACAAATTAAAACATTTGATGGTTCACAGAATGCTTCCCAAGTAGTATCGTTAAACAGTTCAAATCAGTGAAAGTGGATATCAGTATATTCGTACAGATGTCATGGTGCGTTAATGATTAGGTTTATACTTTAGTATTACACTGAGTACAGTCTTAAAAATATTTTCCGAAGTGTTATTGCGTCCACATAACATACTAGATTCGATCTCGACATAACTGCGTTAGAATTCTGGTCATGTTAAGTATTTATGAAATGCAACTTCTTAAGTTTATGGCTGTTATAAAGTTGATTTGTAGAACGCGTGGCGTGAACTATGGAATAAACTTGATATGGGCGTTTTCTAAAGGTCAGATGTCAGAAGTTTCATAGCTGTGCCCTCAAAGCAAGATTCTGGAAAAAATGAGAAACAGAGGAGCAGAAACACACTTGAATATGAACGATAAAGAATGTTTGACATTTTGTAGCGGAACAGACAGAGATATGATAAATTATTAGATTAAATCCATACTAGCTAGAGTGAAATGTGATTGGAGAGTTCAGATGAGAGAATGTCGTAATAAAGAACAATGAATTACAATATTTAACAATGTAGAGTAGGTTCAAATAATGGGAGGTATGTCAAAGTTGGAATAAAGAGGACTGTTTATTAGAATGGAAAGTGCGTTAAGAGAATAAAATGTTAAGAAAACTATTGATTCTATCTTTTAATTCTGATTTTATTTCATTTTTTCATTCGATACAAGCCACACCTTCCTTGCTTAAAATTCCGAGTTAGCATGTTACAAGTTGTCTTATTAGGATAGCTACTCCAGCATAAAATTGGAAACCTGAGTCTGAATGGTGGGCGTAAGAGAACAACCTCAATATCACAGATCGATTGAATTGTTCTCAAACTTAACGAGGCTTATATAAACAAAATGTTCTGTACCACAAATACGGGTGGATTGAAGTCATCATGCTCACCATTAACTCTTGCTCGTCAGTAACTCCACCCTCCCTACCTTTGTGATGTTAGTCTTATTTAAGCTCTTTTCGGATAGATATCACGCTACATACGATGCTCTGTGTTTCACATACTGTTACAAAGCATTATTTCTATAAGTACCATTTCAAAAACTTATCAGGTATTCACAAATTATGGACTGTGGGTAAGGCATCGACACAATGTTTTAACTGATTATAGTATAAAGTATAGGTTTCCAATCAGAGTATAGGCTTAAGAAGGGTATATTTTAGGATA